ATTGCGTTACCCGATTGTGGGTGCAATGTTGCGCGACCAGATTCTTGAGTTGCTGGATCAGGTAAAGGCGACCCTTCAGCTCCTTGAACCTGGGACGATGTTGCAGGAAGGTTGCGCGAGCGAGTTTCCGGAACCTTCCGGAGGATCCGGATGGTAGCTTGGTCCCGATTGCGTGCGTCTTCCAGGTCACGAATCTTCTGCTGGAAGGCTGCTAACTGGACATGCAGAGTACGCTCGATGTCCGTTGTCCAAGCCTTCTTCTCTTCTTCGACCTCGGCTTGCCGCTGTTCTCAGCGGCGCTCGAGCTCGGCGCGCGCGGCCTCCTCTGTCTGGCGCATGAGCACTTCCGGCGATGGTACGGCAGGCGACGACGACACTTCGGGTGGCACACCTGGCGACGTGCTTCTCGACCCTTCGCGGGACGACGCAGTGAACTCCGGTTTCGGACTCTTCTGGGCCTCCACACTCCGGGTGAGGCGCTCCTCCTGGTCGATAGCCCGTTGAGCCAGCGATTGGATTGCTGTGAAGGCGCGCTCAACGTTCAGACTCATCTGGTCCTGACGGAGATCCATTCGGGTTAGCATATCCTGTGTCAGCTTCAGCGGGCCATCGGCACCCCGGGCGTCACCTTCCTTCGGCGGCGGAGCAATACGCTCAACGCGGCTTAGTGGCTCGCTCTTCGGGATGCTTGCGCTTGAGCTCTTCAGGGTTGTCTTCTTTCTCCGAGTTCCAGCGAGCATCATCGTCGTCGGTCGGGCAAGACTTCCCTGACGGATCATCTGGGCTCGGCGCTCTGGCCGTTCGTCGCTTTCTGGACGTCTTCGACCGGCGTGCACTCCGGGTGCGAGCGCCCCATGACTCTGCCATCTCAACATCGTCCTGGTCAGCTTGCACCCGGGGCACCGGGATAAACGTCTGCGTCACTTGGTGTCCTGAACCTCCGGCATCCGGGATGGCATTTCCTTGGGCGGTCATCACCATTCCTGATGGACCCGCATACGGCATGTGAGATGCCGCGGTAGCGCCTCCGACTGACCAGCCTGAGGATAACGAGGAATGCGTCAT